AAGTAATGATTTACTAATGGTATGATCATTTTATTTAAGATGTTTTTGTCAAAGTGTGCGAACATTGTTTTTAATTTCTTGTAATAAATATATTGGAAAAATTGTCAGTTTTAGAACTCTTAAAACATTGAAGGTGTCTCAGGAGCTTTCACAAACAGATGGCCTTCTGTGGTAATGTGGTGAACCCAGGGCCTTGCTTATTGTAGGCATGTTATCTACCAATGAACTATAGCCTCTTTATTGTTATATTATCTTTCTTTATTTTCTGCTCTCCCTCTGCCCTCCCTCCCTCTCTCCCTCCCTCCCTCCCCTTCATCCCCCCTCCCTCCCTTCCTTCTTTCTTCTTCCTTTCTTTCATGTCTGGGTCTCACTGTATAGACCCAGACATGAAAGGAAGGAAGGAACTCAGTGTCCTGGAACTCACTATATAGACCAGGCTGGCTTTGAAGTCACAGAAATCTGCCTGCTTCTGCCTATGGAGTGCCAGAATTAAAGGTGTGCACTACCATGCCCAACTTGTTATTGTCCTTTTAAAGTATTGTTCTTAAATTTTGTGACAAAGTCTTTCTAATTTGCCTATTCTGGCTTTGAATTCCTATGCAGAAAATACAGGACTTCAACTTTCAATACCCTTTTAATTCCATGAGGTTACAGGTTGGTGTCACAGTGCCTGTCAAGAGATAGCATTTTGGTTTTGTTCTTTGTTTTTGAAGCTGTTATATTTCTATTAAAGTTGTGTTTCCCTATAGTCTTAGACCCAGAGAGAAAGTGAGTGTTCTGGGGTATACTGGGGCATAAATAATATGTTCAAATATTTGTCTATAATTGCAGCACTATTGAAATTCTAAATTAATGGGTTGAGCTCTCTGTCTGTCTGTCTGTCTGTCTCTCTCTCTCTGTGTGTGGGGGGAGAGTGAGTTATCATGGACTTATAAGAAGTTTCAGTGTTTTATTTAGACATCTATGTCACCTGTATAAACCTTCCTTGTACTAAAATGGACACTTCATGAAACCTCTGCTGTTCTGGCAACAGAACTTTGCCTTATCATTGTGTGATTAGCACATTCTTAAAAGGTTCTTCTTAAAAGGACCCTTCAGGATTTAAGCTTTGAGATGGTCTTTCTATTTCAGACTCTTAGTCCCCATACACAGGACCTCTGCCTCTCTAGCCTTTTGATAGTGAGAACTCTGCCTGAGTGTTTGAGTATTCAGTTTTGGTCTCTACACTCTTGGATGCCTGATTTGTAAAATGAAGGTTGTGTTGGTTCTCTAAGATTCATTCTCACTCTAGGAAGGGTATCAATCTTCTTAGATTCCCTAGACTGCTATAATAATCTGCATCTATCTATCTCCATACTCTTTAGAGAACCCCTGGCTGTCCTCTATCCCTAGGTGTCTGCTATTTATCCTGAAACAGTGAAGTTACACTGTGTGTCCCAGATTAAAAAATGTAATATTTTTTTTTTGTAGGATGATAGGATGTCCCCTTTCTGAATTTACCTCAATTTCTTGCCCAAATAATGGGTAAATAGTGTTATTCACCCTTATGCACCTATGTAGCCCAAATCTGACAGAATGAGTGAATTAACTTATATTTATTTTCTTGGCCCAGCCCTTTCTCAGAATTAGTTTTCCCCGCCCAAGGTGTTGAACATTTATTTTAAAACTTTGAAAAGGAGTTAAGTTACTATGTGCTACAAAGCAGTATTCACACATTCCCAACTTTGAAGAATGGAGCAGAATGGACATGGTAGATTTTCCTGAGAGATTTATTGGATCTTATTTACCCTCTCTCTAGTACATAGAAGAATTCTTTATCTAGAGTATCACTTCTTATATTAGCCACTTTTTTCTTCTCCATCTCTATATAACAGCTGCTATAATAATGGTGTCTCATCACAGCAACGGAAACCCTATTTTTTTATTTTAATTAGAAAGAAGAGTATTTTACATGTCAATCCCAGTTCCCTCTCCCTCCCTTCCTCCCCCCACTAAAACCCTACCAATCATATATCCTTTCTGCTTCCCAGGGAGGGTGAGGCCTTCCAGAGGGGGCCATCAGAGTCTGTCATATCCTTTGGGATAGTGCCTAGGCCCACCCACTAAGGGGAGTTTTTAGAGCTTTGTCAGATAGTCTGGACCCTGAAGGTTTAGGTGCTCATGTAGAGGCTGAAGGAAATTCTATCTGAAATGTTAAGGAATTCCTGAAGGAACAGATAATTGAACCTAGTGTCATAGTTTGTGTGATCTCATGGTTCTGTGAGTTTCTCTTCAAAGGGAGATCTGTGTGCTGCTTTGAAAGGAATAATGAATTGGGCAGTGGAGGTTGGGTGTTCAATGAAGATATAATTTACAGAGGTCACAATATCAGCATTTTTGACATTATACAGGATTACAATGATACTGTATTGTTACTAACAAATTCAAGTAAGAGAATTCATAAGAGGTGATATTATACAAAAGAGATGGCTGTGTGTGAGGCAGAAAAGAGTACCTTTAGAAAGTCAATTTAATTACAGAGGTTTAGAGCTTAGGCAGTATCCTATACATCAGTACCTTCTGATATAACATCTTTTTAGAATTGTACCAGGAAGACCACCATGGCCACTGAATGCCTTCGAGAGAATAGACCTGCATGGGAGTTCATGAGATTGTTTTTACCATGTTAATGTTGAATCGTCACAAAAATATCAAAATAATTTATTCAGGAAAGTATGGGAATTTAAGAATAAACACAAGTGGTATTTGTGGGTTAATGATGCACAGACAGACAGTTTGAGAAACTGAGTTAGAGTAGGAGACCGTAGAAAAGAGGGCAAGACTGCATGTAAGGGCAGCCAATGAGTTGTCAAAGGTTCTGTACTTGTTGACAGAACAGCTTTAATTTATTTTGTCATATAAGCAGAATTTAAGTAAAACATTTGTTTTTATATATTAACATATTACTCTTCCTTTCATGATTAAAAAAATCATTCCCTCTGATTCAGCTAAGCAAGGCACAGATGAGCTCTCAGGGACTGAAGCAGCAATCATAGTGCCTATGTTGGTTTCCACCAGGTCCTCTGCATATATATTACCGCTTTTAGCTTAGTATTCTTTTGGGACTCCTGACAATGAGACTGTGGGACTCTTTTCCTCCTGTTGAGTTGGCACATCCAAATTCAATATGATTGTTTTTGCTTCATTTTATTATATTTTATTTTGTCATGTTTGGTTGTTATCACTTAGAAGTCTGTTCTTTTCTAATGAGAGACAGAAAGGGAGTTGATCCAGAGGGGAGGGGAGGTGAGGAAGGAAATGGGAGGAGTTCAGGGAGGGGAAACTATAATCAGAATATATTCTGTGAGAGAAGAATTTATTCCCAATAATAGGAAAAAAAAGATTTATTTTTTTATGTGTATGAATATTTCACCCAAAAGTCTGTCTGTGCACTACGTGTGTACCTGGTGCCACAGAGGTCAAAAGAGGGCATTGATTCCTTGGAACTGGAGTTACAGACAGTTGTGAGCTGCCATGTAGGTGCTAGGAATTGAACTGAGGTCCACTGGAAGAGTAGCCAGTGTTTTTAATTGCTGATCCATCTTTCCAGCCCCAATGATTAATTTTTCACCTTTTTTTCTTTTTCTTTGAAGTTCAGAGTGGGTTTGATACCCACATACATTTAATATTTTTTTTTTTTTTTTTTTTTTTTTTTTTTTTTTTTTGTGTGTGTCTAATTGGTTGTTGAAGATTACTGGGCTAGTGTGTAATGACTGAACGCATATTAACTGAAACTATGACTGTGAGACCAGTGCGAAGACAGACTTTTGGGTGAAATACTCATACACATAAAAAAATAAATCTTTTTTTCCTATTATTGGGAATAGATTCTTCTCTCATAGAATATATCCTGATTATAGTTTCCCCTCCTTGAACTCCTCCCACTGTCTGCTATGCATATAGTTCTAGTAATTTTATTATCTTGCATGCCCTTTGTTATATGGCTTTGAATTTCTTTAGCACACTAGTTAACTTGCTTGAAAGCAGAAGCAGCTCATATTTTTGAGCTTTGAGGGTTTAGACTGTTTGTATTGACTTTACCAGTTAAGCATTCCTAATCCACCACACAAAGTGGAACATTCTGAGTGTTGTATCAATGTACCTAAATCTGTAGACTTGGGGGTATTGGAGATTTTGAATTTTCATGTCAAGGATGCTTGGTTTTAATGAAATTGTTTAATCAAAACTATTGAAAATTGCATAATAAGTAGTAATGATTGCAAATTGTTCCACCTAGAGGAGACCCCAAAGCACTTGTATGTAATTTCTTCAAGGACTCCTGAAAAACATCTTTTCATTAAATGTATTTGTTTTCTTGGAATGTGTTTCCATCTTGTTTTTTATTGAATTTTCTGGTCTCAAAAAAAGCATGTATGTAGTATGATGGCATTCAAGACGAGAACTTTGTAGGAATATGTTGTGTTGAAATTTAGGTGATAGATAACACATTGAAAGCAAGCACCACATTTGGCAATTTATATTTCTGGTGTTTTACTAATGTTTAGGGTCCACACTTGATCAATTTATGAGTTTAGTTTTTCTTCTGATCAACAAACAGCACTGTTATCAAATGGCAAAGGACATTTTGACCATTGTTTCTTTTGTTCCTAGAATTTTTTTATATTTCAATAATTTTATTTTTGTATATTCAGTATTACATTAGTTCAGTAAAAACCTTGTGGGCTTAAAAAAGCTTTCTATATAATAATCATATGAGAATGTTAACTTTTTATATCCTCATATAAATTTTGTTATTCTTTTTTTAAATTTTTTTATTAGTTCAAATTAGGAACAAACTTGCTTCACCTGCTTATACTTGAGTTATCGTGGGATATCTATGTTGCTAAGTGAAGGGATGGCCAGTCATATCTGTTTTCTAATCCTATTTTTAGGTTTGGATACATTGATAACGGTATCTTGGCTCCACTTAATAAGGTTCTGTTTTATTTCTCATGCTACAGGAGAGACATATAAGTAATGAAGAAGAACACTTAAGGAGGATGGAAGAGACCAGGCTACAGCTTAAGGACCAGCTTCTTTGTTTGGAGACGGAGCAGGAATCCATTCTTGGTGTAATAGGAAAGGAAATTGATACAGCTTGTAAAACTTTCTCCAAAGACTCCATGGAGAAATTGAAAGTAATTATGAGTTCTCATTATGCCTTAAATTTTCAGTTAGTTTTCTAATATATAATTATGTTGGGATTGTAACATGTGATTACATGGGGGTCATATTTTTATTTCAGAAAGTTTTATGAAACAAAATAACTTTTTGCATTGCTTGGGAGTTAGAAACTATTACTGCACAGTTCTTGTGAAAGTATGATGTTGTCCTATCGAGTTACCCATGTCTCACTCAGTGAAAGATAGCCTACCAACACATCAACAAAGAGGCAGCAATATTGATAAAGGAAAACATCCTTTGAGTGAAGAAGCATGGAATCTGAATTTTCCACCATGGTAGCCTGGTAGTGATGTTCTTACCATCTATTGAATTCTTTGAGAAGCTTAATGATAAATATGGTATATACTGTGCCTCCCTTAGCCACTAAAATCAACCCATCTCATCCGTACCCCACCAAATATAGTGTAGAAAAGAGAACCTGACCTGGAGGATCTGGGGACTTGCTCCTACATATCAGTGTGATGAAATCTGAAGTGGGACTCGGAACTTTGTGGGCTGACTGGGTCCCACTCAAGTAAATACTTTGCTGTTGCACTTTCCCTGTTGTCCTAACACATTAGGCTGAAGCATCACTTTCAGTTGTGTTTATTTCCTTTCATGACTTGGCCACCTTAACGTGTGCTATTGCACTTAGGTGGTTTTATGTTGGAGTTGGGTTCTTCTTTCTTCCTCCACCAGAGAGAGGTCTTCTGAGGTCTCATCCCCCTTTCCTGATATTTTCCCTATCTTTCTTTTTCTCTAAGTGATGTTTGAAAGAAAATGAAACTATAATTCTGCTGTTTCATTCAAAGGCTTCCAAGGCTGGAACTGTAATATAAATATTTCAATTGGTAGAGTTAATCGAGTTGGAAGCTATTTTGCCATTTGCAGTGTCCCATACGTTCTTTTGAGACAGTGTCACTGTGAGAAGGCCGTGAGACTAGGATGAGCACTGGTTGGGTTTAATTGGAAAGCTGACTCTGGGGCTGCTTTATGCTGCTTTTTCTTTTTCCTATCAAATGCTATTTTTTAAAATGCTTTTCTTAAGACTTCTTTGAGGATGTGACTTGTGAACCCTAATTTTATGTGAAGGAACATACATTAGCAATGTAGTATTCACTCCATGTTTAAATACTTCATTTTGGGTAATTTTCAGTCATATGTGAGCATTAAAATCAAAACATGTAAATCATATTATAAGTTGCATAATAAGCCTTGTTATATGCAACTGTTGGAAACACCTGAGTTTCGTGGACAGGAACATTGTTAAATATTGTGTTTCTTTATAGCAGTGGTTTTCAACCTGTGGGTCATGACCCCCTGGGGGTATCAAACAACCCTATAACTGGTCACCCAAGACCATCTGAAAACACAGATATTTACAATATGATTCATTACAATAGCGAAATTACAGTCATGAAATATCAATGAAAACAATTTTTTGATTGGGTATCACCACAACATGAGGAACTATATTAAAAGGTTACAGCATTAGGAAGGTTGAGAAGCCCTGCTTTACAGGGAACAAATTGTCCTTTTAACACACTCTAAAGGTAATTCTGTGTTTTGTTGTGTTTAGATATACATACATGTTCTTTTCTTGTCTTCTCTTTTTCACAGCATAGGTGTGTCACAGTGTTCTTGTCATGGTTCCTTGAGGTTTACTATGGGCAGTCATTGTTGTCTACTGAGTAGGCCTTGTGTGCCTGGCAGTGTAGAAACACTCGTGTATTTGATTATACTCTTGGTCTTATGTAGTATCTTGTTCCCATGGCCCCAATAGCCTGTAGTTCTGCCACTTATAACCGTTTCAAGATGTTCTTTAAAACATGGAATCATTTGTAAATCTGTGGAGCAAACCTTGAAACATGAACATTGCTTGTATTTCCTGTATCAAAATAAATAAACATTATTGCTCAAAGTGAAGATTTAATTGAGGTCGTAAAGATTTAATGGAGTCAGTCAGTTAATGAAAAGGAAAGTATAATTGGTGACACATGGATGCTCACAGATATTTAGCAGCATAGTACATTGTTGAAAGAGGAAGAAGAACTAGAGAGTCTGGATAATTAGGGAAAGCCTGATTGAAAAGGTGGAACACCTATGCCTTAGATTGGAACTGGGTGTGGTGGTCCAGGTCACTGTTTCTAGCATGGGAGCCACAGAAGAGAGGCCAGCCTCCTCTAGATAGGTCTCCACAGTTCCAGAAAAGCCAGGCCTACATATCAACACCATGTTTCAAAACACAAGACAAAATGAAACAAAACAAATAAAAACAGCAGAAGAGATGGGTTAGACTTAAAGAAAAAAGTGATTGAGAGAAAGTTGGGTGTGACACCACAGCACTTTTGTGTAACACGAAAAATAAATGATCCAGAGACTGATATTAGGGTTCAAATTTCACGCTGAAGTTCAGAAAAGCAAAGCATCTGGCCACTAGCTTCTTACCTCTACCTCAGACTGAAAGGGCTGATTCTATCTCAATGAGCTCTCACCAAGCCTTGTCCTGTCTTCTATACCCCTCTAGTGCTGAGAGTCATAGTATGAGCTATAATTGTCTTTTAGACTAACTCAATCTCATGTATCCCTTGGTGGCCTTGAACTCATAGATATCCGTCTACCTCTTAATCCTGAGTCCTAGGATGAAAGGTGTATACCACCACCTCCTGGCTTCTGACTGCTGGGATTAAAGGTGTGTGACTGGCTTCTGTTGCTTGTGGCTGACTTTGCTTTCCAAATCATCAGGCAAACTTTAATAAATCATAAATAATATATCACTACATTTCTGTATATGGAATGTAGTGGATACTTAATATATATTAAGTCTGCATTTAAGTCAGTTAACTAGTGTTATTCTGACTGAGAAATAATATGCACATACTTCAGGAGATATGGACACATTTGAGAATAGGAATAGATATCTCTTTAGAAAAGAAAGGATATTTTTAGATAAAACATATTGATAAGTTCTGCAAAAATATCCTACATAGCACGGAGTTTGAAGAACTGGGAATACTGTAAATTGTGTTTACAATTATAAAGACATAACAGCTTTTGAGTGTAGATTTAGTTCTGTAATAAGGCAAAACCAGATGTTGAGTGATTTTGTAAATGAGTTGGTATAATGGAAATCAGAGCAGCTAATATAGAAAACCATTTAATACAAAATTTTGTGTCTTTTGAAATATAAACCAATGTTTGCATAAATTCATTTTGATGAGCTGTCTGTTCTTCACAGTCTTTGATTAAACAAAATGGACCCTAAGGTATAAAGATGGATAAAAGAGAATTAAGTCCCTATATAGGCACATTTAAGCCTCTGTGGAGTACATGACTTGGAACAACACTGAGAAGAGGTCAAAGGTGAAGCAAACAGGCTTTAATCAAGGTGAAGGTGAATCCTGGGCTCAACTCCAGAGGCTAGGGATGGTAGCCCTTGACAGCTAGTTCATCTTATGTGACTATATCCGAGTTGGCTGTTTATTGTCACCGAGGAACTAAATCCATAAAAGGCACTAAATAACTCTGCTTTGAAATTGATTTGGTATTTGATAGAATCTTCCTCTTTTCAAATCCTTACATTTGTAGACTGTTTATTTAGATGCTGTGGTCAATAATGTTATTTATGTACATTCGTGCCAGAGAAAAACCTATTTCTAATATTCTTTCTTCTTTTTGTAGGTATTTACTTCTGGTCCTGAAATACATTATGACCCACATCGATGGTTAGCTGAAAGCAAGGTATGCCATCATAGAATCCTTATGATCTGTAATAAACTATAGTTAGTATAGCCATATATCTTCTATATATCTGTCTATCAGCCACCCATCCATCATCCATCCATCCATCCATCCATCCATCCATCCATCCATCCATCCATCCATCCATCCATTTGTTTGCCTGTTTGCCTGATTTTTCTTTTGAGGCAGGATCTCACTCTGTAGCCCTGCCATCATGGAATTAGCTGTGTAGAGCAGGCCAGCCTCGAACCCTCAAGGATCTATCCACCTCTGCCCCGAGTGCTGCTATTATAGATGTGCATCACCACACCTGGCTTAACGATATATTTTTGTTGTATGACTGAGCAATATAAGGCTGTAACACTTGGTTGTCAGAGAAGAGTTCCTCTAGTTCCTGTAAGAAGCATTTATGTTTCTTTATTTTTTTTCTCATTTAGTATTTACCTTAAATGTATTGTATAGTTGAGGAATGAGAAAATAAATGATGATAAGACTTATGAATTATGAACCAGATTCTAACAGAGACAAATTCTTTATTTAGGTGGTAATCTCTCTGGAAGTGTCTAAAGGCCAGCCTGGCTAGACCTCATGTTTATTTTACACATATTTATTAAATGTGTCTTGATTCTTTTGTGCAAGTTTATAACCTTGTGACTCTGCTTGTCTCAAGCAAATCCCTTCACTCCCTAGCTTGTTGCTTACAAGATGAGAAGGCCCCACTTTATGTCCTAATGATAACTTTTCTCTGTCATCACTGACAAAACAGTTGTAAATTGCCAGAAGTTAAAAATGAATAATTTTCTATTTTATTTAAAATTCTACACTGTGGTATGCCTTTTTGTTGCATGAAAGTTTTATACATGCACATAATGAAATTTTCAACACTCCCCCATCCCAATTCCTCTTACAGTCTTTCCATCGCTTTTCACTATGGGATATATAACAACTACTTTGATATGATAGATCAATTTCCAAGTTCACTGATTAAAATATATGGGATATTACTACTCCTGTGCACTTGGAGTTTTTTTTTTTGTAGAATTTTTTTTTAACTTTTAAATACACATATCTAAATCTAAAACCATGTGTATTATAAACTGGGATAATTACACTTCCAGTCTTGTTTACTGTATCAAGAGACTTTGAAGTTTGTTTGTTGATTGATTTGTATTTACTAATTGACTAACTGATTGATTGGGGTGCTTGAATCCAGAGCCTCATGCATTGTGCACTGCTGGACTCCATGTTGGCATTATGCTTATTTAAGAACACGAGAAAAGACAAGTCTCACAGGAGGGAAGCAACTTGTTCACTTCCATGTAAAGAATGAATGTCACCTACCATGTAACTCACAATTCATGTCTTACCACTGTATGTATAGTCATTCAGTGTATTTGCTTATTCAACCAATATCCATACATTCTATAATCCTTTGTGTCAGTCAACCTGGCTCTCATGTAGTCTCTGGTCTAATATTGAGATGTGGGCAGATTCCAAAACATTCTTTGACATGTGTTATGACATTATAGTTATTTGAAGACCTCGACAAAGGCACATAGGAAAACGTCTGTGCTGGCATGATGGCGGGCTAGAATGTTGCAAGAGTGTCATCATAAGCTATGGGAAGGACAACATTTAAATTTGGTCTTATAAAAATTATGTGAAGGCTGTTCTTCCAGAGGACCTGAGTTTGGTTCCCAGCACCCCATGGCAGCTCACAACCATCTGTAACTCCAGTTGTGGGTGTCTAAACTCTTTCTGGACTCTGGAGGCACCAGGAGCATGAGTGGTGCACAGGCAAACCACATAGGCAAAACAGCCGTACACATAGATAAGACATCTAAACACATAAAGTAAAAACCAATCATGTGGAAGGTAATTGGCTAATTATAGGTAAAACAGTGGTGAGAAGGTGAGAATATTTGAGTAACCTCTGCTGAGGTTGCTGAGGGTGCTGCTGTGGGATGCCATGGCAGTGATCACCTCTGAAGGTCAAGCATGCTTTAGGCAGGAGAGGAAGAAAACAAAATACTGTGAATGAAGAGATATCACCTTACTGTTTAAAATTCTCTCCTCTCCTTTAAAAGTATCAGTCTTGTGCATTTCAACCATTTTTGTTAGAAATACATGCAAAAATCACGTTTTTTGCCTCTTGCATTGGGAATGCAGAATGTGTGTTTTGGTATCTCAGAATTCCTGGGCTGGGAACTTTGGTTGTGCATTCATTCAACATTTCTCTTTTTTTCTTTTCCCTAGCTCTGCAGTTCTGACAACAAGAGCAATGTACTTAGAATTTTCTTTCAAGTTAAAATCTTTATCATTTCTCAACAGAAAGCTTTCACTGCTGTGGTTCAGTTAAATTATGAGAGGCAAAGATGACTCTTAATCATAGCTCTTTAATTTGGGGCTGGTGAGCAGTTTTCCCTTATCATTTAATGGGATTGAACTTCTGATCAGAGCAGCTTTAATACTGCATGAGACAACTGTTCCATCCACAGTGTAAAAGGCTGTGATAAAAAAATACCATGCTGACCAACCGACTAGGGAGGAATTGAATCTATTTACGAGAAAGATGGCTGAGGTTATTGATGGGGTACAATCCTGTAATGTCCATGAACTATGACTAGACAGCTCTGTAAGTATTGCAGATAAGATCTGAAATCAGGGGGCAAAAACTGTATGGAAAGTAGAACTGCTATTCAGCTAGTCCATGCTGACACCTTGCAGTATTGGAAGGACCTCAGGGGACATTTGGTAATTGTTTTCATAAATCTACTAAATGAATTTCTTTTGTTAGTGTTAACTGTAGAAGAGCTAGCAGGCTGGGTGGGATTTTATCACTGTCACTTTGTGGGCAGTGGTGGTGTGACATAAACATGAGGTCCAACTGAGCTGGTCCAGATTTGCAGATAAAATAACCAATGGAGCTTCAGGATAAGATGTTCTAGGAAGGAGGAGAGTTGAGATAGCTATTAAGGAATGCCAGGCAAGTAGTTCCCACAGATTAAGGATGAGATTTTGTTGTAAATTCTAGCAGCGCATACAGAGGCTGTAGTTTGATAGGGGAAGTACTTAATATGTCTCTGTATTATTTTGTCCATCCACGCGGCGGGCAGAACTCGGCAGCTGGCGTAAAGCGCACATGTGGCGGTGGGGCTCGGTGGCTTTTGGCAGAAAGATTTATCGTAACAGAGGTTTCCTTTGCTTAACAGAGAATAATATTATGTCCTAGATGCTATGTTACATTCTGTGGCATAAAAATTAATAAGCTCTAGAGGAACCTGCTTTGTTAGAAGAGATAGATGAAGATGCAGAAACCTTGAATATTATATGAAGAGCTTTGATGGATATATACAGAGAATGGCATGGAAGTTTGATGTCTCTCATGGATCCTGAAGGTGATGTGTGGAAGCACATGCATGCAGAGAGAACATGATAAGTTAAAATAAACTCCACGTGGTTTGACCAGAGCAGAATCTGAACGGGCTAGGCAGAAAATGGCAGAGAGGAAGCTCCAGGCTGAGATGGGGAACAGGTTGTGGGGGGAGGCATCTTATGCCATTTTCAGGAGCTCAGATTCAGATCAGCATTTAATGAATAATTGGGAAGGAATTTGAAGAAGGAAGTGACATACTCATGTTTGTATTGTAGAAGTTCACATTGTAGTGATGTGGACTGACATCAGGGAGACCAGCCAGGCAGGAGGCTGAGGCATACCGATGGTTTCATCTAAGGAGGTTGCTTAGAGATTTACAGTCACAAAAAGTTGGAGGCAGTATGTTGGCAATAACATCCAAACAGTGGTTGTTGTCATGCCAGAACGTGGTGGAGAGTAAGATGCATGTTTTTTTTTTTTTTAGGTCAAGCTGGAGGAGTGCAAGAAAAAGTTGATCCCTAAATGATGGGTAGGCAGAGTCCTCTATAGCGAGCTAGCTAATAGTGGAATCCATATTTTGAAATATCTGTTTGGATAGTAAAGTCCAAAGAGAAGCAAGGGCATGTAGGTTCAAATGGAAGGAAGTGGGAAATGAAAAAACAAAACATTGCTGATGATAGAAGAGGGATGGAGTCTCAAATCTAGAGCAGCAGGTACTACAGGATGGGACCATATACTGCCCATTCCAGATCTAAGTTCCTTCCTTAGGATAGTGTCTCAGTGTTTCTACTGCTGTGAAGGGATCATAACCATGGCAACTCCTAAAAAGGAAAACATTTAATTGTACCTTTGGCTTACAGGTCAGAGGTACATTATCTTCTTGGTGGGAAGCAAGTTTGGCATGCACCCAGGCATGGTGCTGGAGAGGGAGCTGGGAGTTCTACATTCAGATTAGCAGACAGCAGAAAGCGTGCCACACTGGGCCTGGCTTGAATATCTGAAACGTCAAATCTTGCCTCCAGGGAAACATTTCCTTCAACCATACCACATCTACTTTAACAATGCCACAACTCCTAGTAGTGCCACTGCCTATGAGCTTAAGGGTGGCCATCTTCATTCAACCACTGCACAGAGTGAGTAAAGGAAAACTGATGCACAAGGCAAAATCCTGATTGCCATGTGGTTTACATGTTTTCAGAGTCCAATGTAATCATTTCCTTTAACATGTGAAAACTGAATTCAGTGTAGAATGCTGCATCCTTTCTTCGTGGCTGTTGTCCCTTGCGCTGAATTCCCATTCACTCTTCCAGTTTGTGAGCCAGATGGAGGACATTCTGTGTTTGGTTCCCTTGCTACACTTTTCACACTCATTACAGTGTGCCTCACTAGATGCCCAATAATGGTTCTTCTTCCTTATACCAAAGAACCATTACATTGGAGTTTTCACATTTTTGTACTCAGTTACTTCCTCTGCTTCAGAGTTACAGACAGATGAGTAGTGAATACATGGAACTTTAGTAAATGTCCTTCCTTGTTGGGATTACAGGTATGGGTCACCATTCCAAGCCTTCCTTACATAGTTTAATGCCCAAGTATTTTTTTTTCTTCATCAATTCAGAGCCAT